GGATGATAAAAGATTGACCCCTTACGACCAACATTTTAGATACCAATGAATTTGAAGATGTGAAATGAAAATGGTGTGATGTTTCACGTGATCGTGGGGGAGAAAATTAGATTGTTACCAAACTCATTTATTTTACTTTAAATTATATATTCTTTTAAACTTGTAATTATAATTTTATATCAAAAATAAATTGTAGCATTTTTAAAGTAAATATAGTCTTTACTAATGTCTTGATTAAAATTCGGGATGTTACAAGTGACACTTATCTCTGAAAAATGATGTATATTGCGAGCGACCCCTCAATGCTTTGGCGATCAACTCGTCTCACCTACTGCGGTCTTTACAAATATATCACTACAATATCCATTTCTTATTTGTTTAAATATGAAGCTTGATTTAATTTAATCAAACAATAATTTATTCATTATTATTTTATAAATTAAAAGACATATTTATTTAGTTAAATATTATTTGATAAATAAATTATTATTAATAAAAAAGGATGAATATTTTAATTTATTTATAAATCAACAACTTAAAAAAACTTATTTATACTTCTAAACTATTTATTAAATTAATCATTACAAGGTATGAATTTCAATTTATTATAAATTATAATTATAGTATTTAATATTTAATTATTAAAAAAAGGCATGAAATGTGAGTTCAATTAAAGAAGACCTTATACAAATTTCTAAGGGTTGACTTAGTCGTAGAGGCTTGAGTTTTAAGAATGTGTTTCTTTTACGGTCTTAGATTCGAACTTTATTATGTATAATTAATCCTTGTATTGGATCAGCCCATATAAAATTATATCCCAACTTTAAACGAGTCCCCGTAAAAAAAACAGTTTAAAACTATTTCTGTTTTATAGTTTTGAAAACTAAAATATTAGAAATAGTTTTTTAAAACATTTTTTTTTAAAAAGTATTCCAAACAGATTTTTAATTTTTTAATTTTGAAAAACTTTAAAACTGTTTTTAGAACTAAATCAAACAAGTCTTTAATCTTTTTAATTTATAAAAAAAAATTTATAATATCTTGAAAAACATTTTTCTAGAATTTATTTTTAAAATTAAAATAAACTGGTGCTACAATAAATTTATTTCTTTTGAAAATTCTTATATGATATGAAAGAAAAAAAAATATATGCAAGATTTCAACCTTAAACTCTTACATAGTTTTTAAATTCTAAAGCCTTAATCAATTTCAATAATAATATATTTTCACCCCAAAAAGGTTTTACTGACGTGTTAGGAACCTTGTTCTGTGTCTAACTTTGTTGTAGTTTCTTTTTTTATTTTTTTTTTATTTTAGTGACTAAACTTTGTTAGAGGGTAATTTAGTACTTTAGTATGTTCTTTATGTGGTCTTAGTTTTCTGTGCATAAATAGACTAGTGGTAGATGTCATTTAATGTAATTCTTTCTTACAACTTTGTAGCCGTCATTTTACAGAGTATAAATATATTCACTCATTTTATTCATCTCTTTTAACCTTGTGCACCAACAATTGGTATCTAGAGTTCCTGTTCGGATCCACAGGGAAACACGAGTGAAACGATGAGACGTTGTGTGGTTGATTTTGTTTCTTGAACAAAATCGTAATAGAATCACATTTTTTGATTCTGCGGGATTTTGAAACACTGTGCTTGGTGAGATCTGAGTGATTGTACAAAATTAAAGATGAACGGAAATGCTGGTATGAGCACCAAGCTTCTAGTGTTTGATGGAAAAAAATTGGACTCGTTGGATGATTCAAATGTGTGTATTGTTTGGTACTCAAGATGTGCTTGATCTTGTCACTGAAGGTTACGTTCCAGTAGCAGCAAATGCAACAGAGGAACAAAAGAACACGCATAAGGATATGAGGAAGAAAGATCATAAATCATTGTTCTACATCCATCAGTGTGTGGATACAAATGTGTTTGAAAAAAAGCATTGATTCAACGACGACGAAGGCTGCGTGGGATACACTGGTCAGGTGATATGGTGGCTACGCATCAGTGAAGAAGGTGAAGCTTCAGTCCCTACGAAAGTAGTATGAGAATCTCAACATGAAGAACAATGATAAGGTATCTGAGTACATCTCCAGAGTGATTCTTAACACTAATGAGATGAAAGCTTGTGGAGAGAACCTTTCTGAACAAGTAATCATTGAGAAGGTATTGAAATCCCTTACCCCTCAATTTGATTACATTGTGGTAGCAGTAGAACATTCTAAAGATCTGAGCACCATGAGAATGATGTACATATTCTGTGTCACAACCTCCTGGATTTGTTAAAAGGAATCAGGAAGGAATGATGTACATATTATATAAAGCTTTGTATGGATTGAAGCAAGCACCCGGAGCCTAGAATATGAAGATTGATTCATTTTCAAGGAGCATGGGTTTCAGAAATGTGAGGTGGAGTACGGTGTTTATGTTCATCATACTTCTGAAGGCAATATGATTCTAGTGTGTTTGTAGCTTGATGACATACTGCTGACAGGGAGTTCTGAACAAGAAATAACTAAGTTTAAGAAGGTGCTGATGAATGAGTTTAAAATGATTGATCTCGGGAAAATGACATATTTTTTAGGGATGAAGTTTATATACTCTGAGAAGGGTATCATTTTGCATCAGCTGAAGTATGAACTTGAGCTTCTGAAGAGATTTCAGCTGCAGAACTGTAAGGCTGCTATCACACATGCAGATACAAATCAGAAACTGAATTCTGATTTTGGTGGTGAGGATGTGAATGCTACAACCTTCAAACAGTTGGTTGGTTCTATGAGGTATCTGTGTAATACCAAACCTGATATTTGCTATGCAGTTGGAATGGTTAGTAGGTTCATGAGTAAACAAATGTGGTCTCATTACCAAGCTGCTGTTAGAATTCTGAGGTATATAAAGGGAACTTTGAAGTATGGAGTGTTATTCCTTTATGGAAGAAAGTTGAATCAGAACTTCTGAGTTACTTTGATTCTGATTGGTGTGGAGACAAAGTTGATAGAAAAAGTACTTCTAGGTACTTGTTTAAGTTTCCAGGGGGTCCTATTTCTTGATGTTCCAAGAAACAACTTGTTGTTGCGCTTTCAACTTGTGAAGCTGAATATATGATAAACATTATGGATGCATGTCAAGTTTCTAAACTTACTGCAAGATCTGAATATCATAGTTAACAAGTCTCTGAAGCTGATGATTAATAACAAGTCTGCAATCAATCTTGCCAGAAACCCAGTGCTGCATGGGAGAAGCAAGGATATTGAGACTAAGTATCACTTTCTGAGAAATCAGGTTCAGAATGGAGTGTTAGAAGTTATGCACTGTAGCATCTGTCATACCCCAAATTTGTCCTACCTCGATATTTAATGAACGTTTTACTGGTTCATGACTTCTGGCCATGATTCTCTAAGATTTCGTTTATAAAGACTTTATATGTACTCATTGTGGTTATAATCCCTAACAATTTATATGGGAAGAGCATGCCTCCAACCCCTTATACCCAAAATCATGTTTGTCCTCGTTTTCACGATCAGACAAATATGATATGGTCAATGGCATAAAATACATAATTGGATTTATCTCGCAATGGGATTGTTGGTTTTCAATAGGTTTGAACACTATTTTAACTTGATTACGAACTCCTCTAAAGGTTGTGCGGGCCTCATTACAAGTTGCTTGTTACGATATGCACTTAATTCAAGATACTTCTCATGATGCTTCTAGACACGGTCGATTTGGCCTCAGACTTTATTCGATTTGATTACAGACGTCAAGCTATGCTTGGATTCCAAATCAGTTTGTGACAAACTTAGATTTAGTTTTCAAATTGCAAGAGTGTTTGATTTATTACAAGAATGTTTGAATGAAAATTATGGAGTTTGGCTTCAAGTCACGGGTGTATTAATTTCAAGTCATTAAATGCAAGGTATAATTTGAGTTTGTGCCAAGTTGGAATGAGAGGGCTATGAGCAGGAATTTGTTTATGGTTGGAAAGCGTGTACCAAAAGTGTGTAAGCACTTTAACTAAAATTTCAATTTATGAACAAGTCGTTGAAACTGAAATTCAGCATTAACATATTACGCCAAGTTGCAATTTGGAAATGGAGGCAAAGAATCACCGCATTGCACATGATCTTTATCTTGTTGTATTTAAAAGTGATAAAGAACAACGATACATGGCAATTTGTCAGTCAGACAAGAGGGGCAATAATTCACATTTCAATTCCCTCATAAGCAATGTCAATATGTTACAAGTTCAATACATTCTGTGCTTGGATTACAAAGTGGCCAAAAGATCTAAATGGGCACACAATCTAACTCTGCAAGTTACTACCGAACCTTGCCATTTTGTTCTACATTAAAATCATGTAATTTACGCACAGTAGTTAGGGAAATATGGCCTCTATGCACCCTTCGACTTCGTGTGTTCCTGTAAATATATGATGATACAAATCAAGATGACTTTATACATCACTTTCCCAATCAAAATTGCAGGATGCTAAAGCTATTAATTTATTGCAAAAAAAGAGGAATAGGAAAAAGGGAATGAGGTTTCCCACGGTCCCCTAGGAGGGCCAATGTTTCTAGCACTTAAGGACTCAATTCAAATACAAATTAGAGTTGGAACAGATATTATAATGGCTCTGGATGATGTTATCAAGACCGCTGTTACTGGACCAAGAGTTGAGGAAGCTACATGTAGATGGGTAGACAGATGTATTGCAGCTTACAGGAGGCCTTATGATCAAAACTTATTTGGTATGGTGCCAGGTGGTTTAGATCCCGTGTTGAGGGATATTCCTTCAGCCTGCATATTACAAAAAGCACCTATTATGAAAATGCCCCACAGCAGAAAAAACAAACAAACAAAGGCATATAAATATACTTTGAAATCTTCATAACGCGCATGCTTACGGCTAATTGCAACAAGCCATGCTCTTGAAGTTACTTGACTGCTAAACAGAAACACGACGCCGTAGCGAACTTTTGCCAATAATTCCATTATCACCGCCATGTCTTCGCACGGCGTCCCTGCGGCGGAGGCTCTTCTTGCCTCCGGTCGGAACTCCGAGAAGCTAAACCTCCCAACTCTCCAATCAAAGATGAAGTGCGACCCTGAAGGCTACGAATCGGAGCCTCATCCGCAACCAATTCAACTCCTCACTCGAACTCTTCCAGCAACAAGCCGCAATGAACTTCACTTCCATATACGGAATCAATAACGATCCCACCATTGCCAAAAATCTCGCCGAGAAGGCCATGTTCCTCTCCCACATGACCAGGGAGCTTCAAACTCTAGGCAATAAACCGCTGAGGGAGTTGGCCTTTAATCATGTTGTTAAAAGCATAAAGCGGATGAATCTGAAGCGTAAGGATGAAGCTAAAAACCGCGCACTTCAGAACATTCTCTTCGCCATGCTTCAGGATAAGGATGAAGGTCGGGCCAAGAAGGCGCTTGTGACTCTCTGCGACCTTCACAAAAGACAAATCTGGTTTGATGAGAGAACAGCAAATGCAATTTGCACTGTTTCCTTTCATTCATCGTCGAGAACCTCGATAGCAACATTATGTTTTCTGCTTGATTATAAGAAGATTGAAAGCTACCACGATGGTGATGACTCAGACAGTGATGAGGAATTAACCGTAACACCTCAAATTACGCTTACAAGGGAGACAGTTTACAAGGCAAGCCACCAAGGCACATCAGCTAGCAAAAAGAAAAGAAGAAGAAATTGGATCGCATAATACGCGGCATAGCGCGGATCGTCTGAAAGGACCAACAACATCTACTATTCACCACTCAACCATCTGAAAGATCCACAGGGTTTTGTTGAGAAGCTGTTCTCTCGTCTGCAGAAATGTAACGAACAATTTGAGAAATATATCCAGCCCCATCAGCGAGACGTTACAAATTTGCTTGCAGCAGCGGTCCAGGTTTGCCATGATGAGGTTCCGGCAGATGATGTTATGCCCTTGTTCAAACAAATTGTGAATCAATTTGTACATGATCGCTCTCATCCAGAGGCTATCACAGTTGGAATAAATACAGTAAGGGAGATGATATTGCTCAATGCTAGCTCCACCTACTGCGATCAGTCATGCTTCCGCACGTCGCCAACGGTGTGAAACGACAATTTCTGCAAGTTGTCACAACAGGTCCTGCACAAATAGGACAATATCAGTCACTACATGAAGAATACAGGGCGCAACGTATTGTCAAGGAAGCTTCCCTGGCCAGAAGCAGAATCGAAAAGTCGCAAAACCTCCTAACTCACGAGCTCCCTGCCTTGGTTACCTATCAAGCATGAAGAAAATAAATGAAAAGACTGGGAAAAGTTTGCAAAACCATCACACAAATTTAAGTAGAAAGTAGAAAGAGATTCGAGATTCATACCGATTTGAGGCAAAAGAGTATCGCAGCAGAAGACCAGTTCAAAGCGAAATACCAATATGTACCCGTAAAACACGTAACCGAAAGATAAATCATGGGCTGAGACTTCACCGCGCCATCATGAAATAAAGAGTGCCTCCATAACTTCACGCCGTCACCGAAATTTCACAAGCATCCGCCAATGTACATAATATGACTTCAAATAACCTTCATGTGGTCCACCTCTCCAAGCATTGTAACAATGGCCAAGATCAAAGTTTAGGAGACATTCATAATTCCATCAGTTGCTGCGAATTCACGTAAAGCGAATCATCATTCAAGCCATATATTGATGCAAAAATAAATAATGAACAAAGATCATGAAAGTTTAAACCAATAGCAGTAACGGGTGGAAAAACGTACGTTTACCTTACTATTGGTAACTTCGAAAGAGGATGTCCGCAAGGCAAATTTCATGACATGCCTCGTAGCCACAACAAACCCACCTCTACTTCTTTTGCAATATGTACACGTAAGAATAATACAAAAAGGACAGCTCATATTAGAAAGCAAGAAAGGCAAATGCTATCAATTCTACAGACATCGTACCACCTGCTTGCTGAAACAAAGTTGATGGACCGCATCTGAGCAGAAAATCAGCAAAACAATTGCAGCAATTCCTCCCAATTTCACCAACAGAATTTCATAGACAAATCCCATTATACCCTTCATTCACGTGATAAATAAGAACCTGTTCATACTCGTTAGAAAAAAAAACCCTAGCCGCACTATTCACAAAATGCCATTTCCCTTCAGCTCCATCATCCATCTTCACGATTCCAAACCTGAGTCTCACTCTTCTTCAACCCAAAACGACCTAACCCCAGCTCTCTCCGCCGCTCCAACACTCCATTCTCAGCCGTAAATCACAAACTAATTACCTCCAGAAAGCCCAGATTCCAAGGTCACCGTCAAACTCCATGAGCCCAACTTCAAACTCAAAACCATTTTTCACTCCCACTCAAACATCGTCATCATCATACATAACCCAGAACACCACCCAAACTTCCGCCGTTTTCATTCGCAAAACCTCCCCTTCAACTCTCAACCTTACAACTCCCAATCTCCCAAAACTCAGAACAAAATCATAAATCTCCACAACATATAAACCAAATTACCAAACAGAAGGTCGAATCCGAAGCGGAGGATAGAAAAAGAAGAGAGGGGTCTAAAACTGAAACAAGGTCAAGAAGGGTTAAGATCCAAACCCGAGCTATGAGTCTAAACGAAGTCGAATGAAAGGGAGGGCAAAACGAGATCCATTCGGAAACTGAGGGTGAGATTCACTTGTCGGTGTCGTGCGATGACAATGAGCCCGAGCGTCTTTCTTTTTTTTTATTATTCATATTGCTATTATTAATTCAGTGTTTGTTTTTACGAGCGTTCGCGTTGATGATTTACTCTGGGCATGTTCTGAGTTTTCATTTCCTTTTTTTCTTTTATTTTTTAATTCGTTTTTTTTTATGATTGTTGATGGGCCTCCGGCTTGTTTTTTTTGTTTATAAGTTCCATTGGGCTTTCACACCCCTCCCCTGTCTCCATTTATTTATATTCCTTAAGTTTTTTTATTATTATCACTATATATTATATATTTTGGAGTTTTTTTTATATATATTTTATCTAGAAGTTTTATTCAATATTTTAGAGACAGCTTTTATTTCGCATTTATCATTGGACATTCTGTCTCCTTTTGTTTACGGTCGATGACGATACCCCAAGTTATAACTTTGTCAATTTATTGACGAGTAGTGACAAACCCGAGACCGTTTTCTCTTTAACTTCTTTCATTTTCGATCTTTATCGATTTCTTGCTTATTTTAGTCAATGATGACTGTAATAATTATTATCGGTCAAATTATTGATAGATGATAATTTTAGTCGAGACTATTTCACTTACACTTCAAATCTTTTTTCAAACATTTTCTCGATCAAACTTCGAAAGAAGAAGGTTCTTGGAGTCTAGCATTCCTTGAATTTTCGAGTGAATAATTCTCGAGGCACGCCCTTTGAGTTATTATTCATTCAATCTTTCGACCTTTTTAAATATCTTTTTTCGATTCAAACTTCGAAAGAAGGAGATTCTTGGAGTCTAGCATTCCTTGAATTTTCGAGTGAATAGCTCTCGAGGCACGCCCTTTGGATTGTTATTCACTCAACCTTTCGAATTTTTTAAACTCAATCATTCTCAAACATTCTCCTAAGACGAATGCTTGTAGGCATTCGCAAACCAACCCATTTCTTTCACAATTCCTCGTGGCCTCGATATTAGGAGCACCCTCAGGGACTAATATCGTTTCTCACAACCTTAACCCTTGACACGTCGTCAAGCCGGTTCCATCTTCAATCAAATCTTCGACACGTCGTCGAACCAGTTCAAAACAATTCCCTTTTGGCCTCGCATGCCATTCTTCGATTCAATCCTTTCACAAACACATTTTTTAAATTTACGAAAGAGGGATATTCTTAGAATCTAGCATTCTTTGAATATTCGAACGAGTAACTCTTGGGCGCGCCCCCGAGTTGTTATTAGTTCATTCTTTCGTTTTCAAAATATCCAACTCTTATCTTCAACTCATTCAACCCAATTTCCGAAAGAACTGAGTTCTTGGGATCTCGCATTCCATGAATTCTTGAATGACAAGCTCTTGAGGCACGCCCTTAGGTTGTTTGTCAGTCACTCTTTCGTCTCCCAACTCAACTTCAACCCATTTCAAACCTCATATTTTCGTGGTCGTCTCCACGAACTACGGACGCTCTGATTCTTTATTCATTCTTGAATACAAGATACGTAGGCACAAGATTGCGATGATCTTGGCGAGCACACTTCCATCCATCTTCCGTTTTCCCCCATCCTTTCCCGTAGTCGAACTACGACGCTCTGATTTCTCATTCTCGTCCGAATGAGCATACGTAGGCACAAGGGCCCTAATCCTTGGCGAGCACCCTATCTTCTAACCACCCATCTTTCCTTAGCGTCTTTAACCTTTTTAACCTACCAATTCTACCTTTAACAACAGGAAGAAAACCAGTAAACCTAAACAACACTCCCCACAATTACCTTAAGAGGTTCCCGTCGAGTACGACGGACGTGAGGGGTGCTAATACCTTCCCCTCACGTAACCGACTCCCGAACCCGAAACTTGGTTGCGACAGCCCTGTTCCTATCCTTTCGTTTTCAAGAGGTTTTCTCGATATTTTCCTCTCCCGTTTATTCGGGAAAAATAAAGTTCGGTGGCGACTCTGTCGAACCGCAATTTCCGCGCCTTTTGCGCGAGGGTCGTACGTTTTCGAATGTGAATTTTTCGAGGTGCGACAGGTGGCGACTCTGCTGGGGAGGCATTGCTCCATGCAAAGAGAGAGTCGAGCCTATCTTTTGGTTTGTGAGGAGTGTTTGTTTTTTATTTGTTTTCTTTTTGTTTTTGTTCTCTTATAGATTTTATTCGTGCTTTGTCGCCTGTTGGTTACTGGGATGACATCATGAGTAAAGCTCTACGCCCGAGCTTTGGTAAAAGCAGAGAGAACACATAGTTTAGAATTGGTAGTCGAGTAGTGTTAGTCTCCGAGGACTCGCTCCTTGTGGGCCTAGCGTGAAAGCTCCTCCAGAGGAGACCTATTCGTAGATCTTGTTGTAACGCAGCTAGCCTGTTGCATGACTTGATTCATGAAGGGTCCATGATTCTGGGACCCTATTTAGCACCAGTTCCAATAAATGGTGGTCGTGTAATGTTAGTCTCCAAGGACTCGCTCCTTGTGTGCCTAGCACGAGGACCCCGCTCAGGAGAGACCTTATCG